CCTAAGTGACGCCTGCTTCATCAGCCATGCTTGCTCTTGCAGTCCAATACAATTTCGCTCTCCTAGCATAAGGGCTGTCCATTTCATTAAAGGAACATCTTATGTCCTGTAATGCAGGGCATGTATCAAGATGTTCTCCTGTCATCATGTCTAAGGAACATAGAGGGCATGTCGGGCATCTTTTGCACCGATGCGGTGGAGGTGGTTCTGAAGGAAAACATGGCCTGTGAGCATTCTAAAGCATGCCACGGCTTGCCCTCTAGGGAGGTCACTCCATCGTTACTCTTCAATTGTTTGCACATATTTCTCTTTCAGTGAACTTTGGATGGTCTGTTTTATAATTCTTTTTGTTGAGTCCATGGCCAGAGGAATATCGGGTTGGATCATTCCAGAACCTATTCTGGCCAGTTTGTCAGCTTCATCATTTCCGTGGAGCCCGCAATGGCCTGGTATCCACTGGAAAGCGACTTCTGTCCCATTTTCCTTTAATTGGTTCAAATATAGATGGCAATTAGGAACATTTGGATTTATATTATATCCATTTTGGAGGGATAAAATGGCTGCCTGTAAATCAACAAAGAAAGCAACTTTCTTGTCTTTCCGTTCAATTAATTTCTCAAGGCCTAAGAGAATGGCTTTCCCTTCCCCTTCAAAGTTTGTGGCTACCTTTCCGACCGGGGTGGCAAGTTGGAACTCCTTTGAGTAAACACGGTAAGTAAACGATCACATTTATCGCCAACTCTGTCCAATATACAAAGCTTAATTTCGTCATAATTGGCCTTTTATTAAAGCTGGATAGTCAGAGAATAATAAAACATGAAACAGTATTAAAAAATAATTAGCTTAGCCAATAAAAAATACCAGCAAAGTCAACTTTCACAACAAAAAACGGGAAACGTCCTGAAATAAAATATCTGGAGAATATATTTTTCTTAAAACACTCATACTTTCTAAAATATTTGAAGAGCTTTTGTAGAAAATGCATTAAAGCGGCACTGGCGTAGTATCTACAGGCCGCTGCCACATGGTTCAGTACCTATAAATGGCATAGTTATAGGGTTATAATAACGTTTATGGTAAATTATATTGATTGTAAAAATATTAATGCAATAATTTAACTGTCCAAAAAAAAATTAAACCATTTTTTTTTTTATATTACTTCCTTTATTCCAAACGGAGGTCGTTTAAGAAGGCCTCTATTGTAAAAATGATATAATTGTATTAATAAAACTTAATTCAAAAATACTTCACTGAATATCTTCAATTTTTTATTTAACATTTGCAATTTAACAGTTTGTTTCGTATATTGATTCTTAGAGGTAAGTTAAATTGTATATACTTTCCCGGAAATGAGTCATATTAACACCTTTTTTATAAACTAAAATATTAATTTAATCTGAACTACATATAATGAACAGTTGCCGGGTCGTTTAATAAAAGTCATTTATCAATAATAAAAAAATTAATTTCATTTTTTTATTTCCTAGGAACAAAATAGGAAATTTTAATATTAAATGCTTCTCTTTCTTTTCTCTGCAAAAAGAAAGATGAAAAGGGCAAAGGTATATGTTCTTCTTGGTAACCGGAACTAACTCTTAGTATTTGGTATAAACATTAGGGGAAATGCAAAATCGAATCCAAAAATTGGATAAATCCATTAAAAAAACGAGGAAGGAATTGTCAAAATCTCGGAAAAGAAAAAAAGGATCAGTATCCGTTATATGGCTAAACGAATGTATAGTAGACAGATGAAAAGAATATTTCAAGGAGCTGTTAAAAGTGGGTCAAATGATGGGGCAGTTTGGATGATATTAAGTTCCATTTTTACCTTTGGACGCCATTTTGGGGCAATACATTCACTTTTATTTTGTAGAAAATTGGCTATTTTATAGCATTTCCAAGTCAATTTCAACCTTTTCCAAATCAAATTCAACCTTTTCCAAGTCAAATTAAACCTTTTCCATTTCAAATTCAACCTTTTCCAAGTCAAATTCAACCTTTTCCATTTCAAATTCAACTTTCGAATTTTTGTCAATTTTCGATTTTTTTCGAAATGAAGGCCACTTACTATATTATCGAAGGCATAGCTTTTGAAAAATACAAAAAAAAATTTGATAACGCGGTTGCATATCCATTTATTTTAACATTTTAGATTTTTTCAGTGTGATATTTCTATGTCATATTCAATTATTTCCAAGTCAAATTCAACCTTTCCAAGTCAAATTCAACTTTTCCAGATCAAATTAAACTTTTTCCAAGTCAAATTCAACCATTTCCATTTCAAATTAAACCTTTTCCAATTCAAATTCAACCGTTTTCATTTCAAATTAATGTTTTAATTTTTTGTAAATTTTATATATTTTTTTAAAATAATGGCCATCCCCTCCCCCCTCCAATATGAAAGTCTATTATTATGCTCTCCTAAGTAGAATTTTCACTTACGGATATCGATTTATTGTACCTATTCGGATTTATTAGGGACTAGTATTATGCTGTCCTGTGCCTAGTTTTGAAAATAACCTCCATTTTAAGATTACGTGACTGCGTTTCGAATCATTTAAGTTTTTTTTTTTACTTATTCGATATAAGAGTGTATTTTTATGTTTCCCGATCAGTAAATTTTGAAAATGACATCCATTTTATGTTTACGCCACTGTGATTTGACTTATTTAAGTTTTTAGAATTTATCCAATATAAAGGTCTACTTTTATGTTTCCGGAACCGTAGATTTTGAAAACGACCTCCATTTTAAGATTAGGCCACCGCGTTTCGACTTATTTGAGTTTTTCGGAATTTTTTCATATGAGGGTGTATTCTTATGTTTCCGGAGCCGTAGATTTTGAAAACGACCTCCATTTTAAGATTCGGCCATCGCGTTTCGATTTCTTTGAGTTTTTCGGATTTTTTTCATATGAGGATGTATTGTTATGTTTCCGGAGCCGTAGATTTTGAAAACGACCTCCATTTTTAGATTAGGGCCACCGCATTTCGATTTCTTTAAGTGTTTCGAATTTTTATCATAAAAGAGTGTATTCTTATGTTTCCGGAGTCGTAGATTTTGAAAATGACCTCCATTTTAAGATTACGCCACTGCGTTTCGGCTTATTCAAGTTTTTCGTATTTATCCAATTTAAAGGTCTACTTTTATGATGCCGGAGTTTTCAAAACGACTTACATTTTAAGATTAGGCCACTGTGTTTCGGTTTTTTTAAGTGTTTTTGATTTTTCCTTCGAATAAAAAACAAAATACGAAGGATTAATTTATTTTTCAATAAATAAATAGAAATATCTAATCAAAATAAATAAAATATGTATTGTCTCATTTTTAATTTAATTTTAGTTATCTTTTTTAATGTTGTGGTCTCCTGTCACAAAATTATAAGATTTATAAGAACAATTAGCTGAAAAATCTAATACGGCAGGTTAAATTTATTACCAGGTGCTTTTCGGCTTTTTAGTTTGTATTCTGTGGTTAATTTAACTTTAGCTTCATAATATTTATTTATTTATTTTTCATACTCGAAAACATATTGATGAACCTTTGTATTGAAAGATCCAAAATGAAGCCTAATTAATCGAGATGCAGCGGCTTAATCATAAAATGGAGCTTAAATATTAGATAAATTTAAATATTAAAGATTAGAAAAATTTCAATACGTCTCCGATAACATATAAGTAGATCCTTATTCCGAAAAAGTAAAAAAAAAACTTTTATAATCCAAAAAAAAGTGGCATAAACTTGAAATTGGGTCATTTACAAAATGGGGGAAATCTACTACTCTAGAAACATAACATTAGACCTTTATACTTGTTAAATTCTAAAAACTTAAACAAGTCGAAACGCAGTGGCGTAATCTTAAAATGGAGGTCATTTTCAATCTACAGCTCCGGAAACATAAAAATACACCCTCATATGAAAAATATCCGAAAAACTCAAATAAGTCGAAACGCGGTGGCCTAATCTTAAAATGGAGGTAGTTTTCAAAATCTACGGCTACGGAAACATAAAAGTTGACCTTTATATTGGTAAAATTCGAAAAACTTAAATAAGTCAAAACGCAGCGGCGTAATCGTAAAATGGACGTCATTTTCAAAATCTACAGCTCCGGAAATATAAAAATACACCCTTACATCGAATAAATCAAAAAAACTTAAATAAATCGGAACGCAGTGGCGTAATCTTAAAATGGAGGTCATTTTCAAAAACTACTCATACGATAACAGATCCACACATCGAAAAATTAAAGATAATTAAATAAATAAAAAAAGGTTGAATTTGAAATGGAAAAGATTTAATTTGAAATGGAATAGGTTGAATTTGACTTGGAAAAAGTTTAATTTGATTTGGAAAAGGTTGAATTTGACTTGGAAAAGGTTGAAATTGACTTGGAAATGCTATATAATAGATAGTAACAAGGAACACAACGATATGCAATTTATAGGGATGTGGGGAGGGAATGTACGGTAGGGGGTCTGGCTCACCGTGTATAACAATTATGAATTGTCATGTATGATGTATTATTGAAGATATATGTATGTTGATGTTTTAGATCATAGGTAGGGAACCTTCTTATCATTAGAGGTGGCAGTGAGGTTAGGCAGTGCTAATGGAGGACGCAATAATTCATTAAATATTTTACCATTGCTACTTTTATCACTAAATGCACACACCCACGTGCATACATTCAACCCTAATTGTATTAATTTCCCAATTTTCATTATTTAAATTATTAAATTCAATTAATTTTAGCACTAGATTAATAAAAAACGTTTGAAGGCCGCAACTACGTTACAGAGACCACTACGGCCTCCAAGGGCGCGGTTCCCCACTTATGTTTTAGTTGAAAATGGCGAATACATTGAAAGCTCCTTGTAACGATAAAATAAAATTGAGACTGAACGAAAGGGTATTTTTATATATTTCAAGAATAATACGTATACCATACCTATTAAACTTGTGACTATTATTAGATATTCAATAATAATTTTATTTTTATGAGGATGTTAGTGTGGATACTTTTCGTCATGTTCTACTTGGTGAGAAGGAAGCATTAGCAAACATTGGCAGTGGAAGAGTGCTTTCAAGGTAAAGATATAACAACTAATATCTTTTTTTTAATTTAACATACAATCATTAATTTGTTCGTATTACCATCAATGTTTAACAAAATTATAATTGGCTAACACCAAAACCTATTTAAATCTACTTCTTCTGTAATAGCCATGGAATATTAACTAAAATGGTGACCTTTCCATTCTGTTCGTCGTTTTCACTAAATTTTCAACTACGACAGTCTGAGCCTACCTAATTTTCAGCCATTCAATTATAGTTGAACCATTTGTACTTTTTGTAGTGGTATGCATATGAAGTGTCAATTTAATAAATTTTGAAAATTTAGAAACATATAATTTAACAAAAAATCAATAATTTAAATAAACTAACTTGTGATAAGTGAGAGAAGTGAAATGAAATATTGTCGAGGTTGTGAAGGTGTTTAATATCTCACAGATGGTCTTGAAGATTCATGTTTAGTATGGCAGCTGGCCATATGAAGGGTCGGGTTAGAAAGAACCACAGACTATTAGTCAGCTAATGGCATTTGCATAAAGAAATTGCAGGATGGTTATTACATATATAATATGTGTAATAGTTACATATATAACTTAGATATTAGCCTCCATACTTTATGGCTGGGAAACAGAAATACAGCCGAGGGATGGGAGTGCTCAGATGTAGGAGTATTAGTAATAAAGATTAGACCCCTCTCTCTGAGGTATTAAGGTACAAGCGAGGGTGGTTCCCTCTGACCTTGTCTGTATAAAGGAGTACGGATAATACGATAATGTATATATATATATATATATATATATATATATATATATATTATCGTATTATATATATATATATATATATATATATATATATATATATATTATCGTATTATATATATATATATATATATATATATATATATATATTTCTTTTAAGAAAATATGGACAAACGAGCAGTATACAATAATATGACAATAAAATTTAGCGAAGTGGTAATGTTTGTGATTTGTAGTCATGGTGTAGTCTCTCTGGTGAATGCTAAGAGTCATGTCCAGAGATGTCTAAGATTAGACATAAATCTGCTTCCCAAGCCCTACAGATGACGGTTTCACCACCAAAACTGAAAGAATAGAATATTTGTTAAGGCCATTCACTAGAGGTAATAATTATGAGCGTCAAATAGTGCAAGAGTAGCTCTGTTGCCCACCATTTATTGGCCAGCATAGCAGTGCCTATTGGCGAATTGGAACAACAAAGCCCCACCTGGTGACCTGGGACCAGTGGGATCAAAGTTAAAAACAACTGACTCTGAGAGAGTCTACAAAATGGTCTTCATGACCAAGCATACTCAAGAGAATTTTTAACTAGACCGATCCAAAGAAGTGGCTTGGAAGAGGTACCATGGATGTCTACACATGACAAAATATTCAGAGATGTCAGCAGGCCAGACCATACCACTCGACCAGATGTATTTGCAGAAGCCATTCCCTCGATGGGAGAATTCAACATCATCATCCACCAGCCAGAATATTCATTTACCCAGTGAGCCCATTAATAATAAATAGGCACTAACACATTAACCAGATTGTATATTTTAGTACCTCCATCAATAACTGTTTATTTCATATCAATTTTATTCAGTAATATATATTTTATGTTAACTTTATTTTGGTCATTTTACATTTCACAAGAACACCCCCTTCTGATCAATTTTAGCATACAGGTTTGATTCCCCCTGCCACAGGATTAGGGAATGCCTTATGCCCCAAGCAATATCTAATAATAATAATAACAAATATTATTACCTGGAAAAATGATCACTTACAATGAAAAACTCGCTAGCTGACCTCAGAGTCCGGTTTTGGTTGTTGTCATTTCAAGGCAGAAAAGAATATTGATGCAAAATATATTCCCAATCTCCCTCTTCTATCTTACATTTCACCAACTTTCTTATCCTGCCATTCTGTGTTTGTTCTGGACTGTGGCTGTTCTCTGTGGCTGGCTGTAAAAGAGATTTGAGATTATGTTATCAGTCTTAACCTAGAGCTTATTACTGTCTCAACGTGATTCACAGATTTTTAAATAATGTTTTCATACTTTAAAGTGTTTTGTTTTGCTATAGAATCTATTATTCTAAACAACAGGATGGTCTTATTAATGTGTTTTTTTAGTCTCAGACTGAAGCATTTCAATGAATAATGAAATTCAACCATTGGTAATGGCGGGTTTCCTTACCCAAGAGGGCTGATCATAGGACTCGTCCACAACTCCGCAGAGAAGAAACGTATACAACTGCTGGCAGGCGGCACATCTGTTCTATACAAAAAAAAAAAAAAAAAAAAATCGAGAAAGAGGTCCAGGACGCAGTCATAAAGTTTTTATTGGTGCCGACGTTATAACCCAAACATGTGGGTCATTATCAGAGCGCGTTTCGAGCACTGAAGTACTCAGTGAGTACTTGAATACCTCTAGTGCTCGAAACAGGCCCTGATGATGACCCACATGTTTGGGTTAAAACGTCGGTACCAATAAAAAGTTTATATTGACTGCGTCCTGGATATTTATCATCCATGATATGTAGAACAGTCAACTAACTTTCTTCAATAATTCAATAGAGAAAGAGCTTTGTAGAGAACATTTAATGATATTTAGTTAGTTTTGATTTGATAACTTGTGATTGTTTAAATATAAATCAACAGTTTTTCTTGTTACAATTTTTTTTAGTGGAGAAACAGACCATGTTTTAATCAATTTCGTTGATCATGGAGGCACCGGAATGCTTAATTTTCCTAGTTCCAATTTATATGCTGATGATTTAAAGAATATTTTAAAGAATATGAAAGATAAGAAAATGTTCGATATTGTAAGTAACAAATTTATTATATATCACTCTAGTAAAAAAAATTAATTCAATAGTCAATTAATCACAGGTAAACAAAGGATAACTAATGCCATAACAAAGCTAAATGCGTTCTCCTCTGACTAATTGGCTAATAATTCCATGAATAAATTGTAGATAAACTTGAAAATATTTATTAACTGAGTTCTGGTGAAATTAATGAACATTTCAAGACTAATTATTTAATGAGGGCTAATAAGCATCTCTATCCCCGTCTCATGGCCACTTTTGAAAGAGGTTATTTCAGAAAATGGACAAGATATCGATATCAATGGATAACTCTTAGGGGATGATCAGAAACCGTTATAATATACAGATATATCACTAAGAAACAGATTCACCCAGCTAAAAAAAGATTTTTTGCAGCCACTCCTAGTGAACACTAGCATTGCTGAAACATCCGATTTAAAACATAAGTGTATCTAGAATTATTAAGACACTTCAAACAATTGTAAACAATTTGATTTCATTTCCCAAATCGCCCAAAAACTACAAAGGCCCTTTTGTTTTAAAAAAAGGTTAGAAATTCTAAAATTAGTTTTCTGACCTCATCCAAACCTGCTACTTCGGAAGTTATTGAGGATTTACTAAGTTGTAATTGGAGTGACTACTATTATTTATTTAATATTTTTTTATTAGCGTGTATGTATATGTCCCGTGAATAAAGAAATGTTTAGCAAATTCAAGAAGTGGTCATCATCTTTTAATTCGTGAATACCTAAAACACAAATAATGGAACCACTAAAAGAGAGATTTGATTGTATAGCATTTTTTCTACTGACAAATATTACAATATCAATTACTTATGTTAGCAAAAAAAATATTCATATAGATCTTGAAATCATGTTCTAAAGAAAACTTCACTTTACTTCCTCCGAGAAGTATCAGGTGAATGGTTTTTTAACTTATACTAGTAAGTTATATACAATTTGTTAGTTGTTTTCCTCAGTTATATGATACGTGTTCAATTTGTATATTTTTTCCACAGCTAGTTATGTATATTGAAGCATGCAATTCAGGCTCCATGTTCGACAACATAATTGGAGGAACTGATGGCGGTAAGTGATTATTTCTCATTATTTTCATTTACATAATTATTTTCATAAGTAGCGTTATACTGCCTACCACCAATAGCGACGGCATTGTGCTACTTAATTCAGCCAATAACGGATTCAGAAAACGATCCTGGGATCGGATACTTCTTTGTCAACCAATCTAAGATAGTCTTCCTCTACGCCTCCTGCCCTTTTGTCTTTTGTCAATAATTGTTTTGGCTAATCGCCGCTCATTAAAGTTTCACCTCTATATTAATATATGTATATGACATGGATGAGTCACAGCACCTTCTAAATATACCAGAACTTGTGGTTTGTTTGTCATCAGTATTCATGGTGAACACTCAATACTTAAACACTTCAACAACGGTGGATTCGGGCCTAGGCGACGGTTGTCTCACATATTATTCGAAAGCCTGTCGTTCAATTTCTCTTTAAATGAGTACTCAGTGATGAATTCTATTTTAAAACTATCTCATAGTTAAAATATTTTTGGAATATTTATATAAAAAAATAAGAGTCTGCAAGTCGGATCTTGCTACCAGTAAAAATAGCGGCTGATTTAAAGAACGTTAGACCAGTAACTAGAGAAAATAAACGGAAAATTCATTGCGAAAAATATGGGAAAAGTTTTTATTTCTTTAACTTGTATATATGGGTTCAGACATATAAAAAACAAAATTTCTAACGCGAGCCACCAAGGGAAACCTTTTTACAGCCAAAAAAGATGAAAGATAAGACCTCTGCCTATCTTGGGCTACTGCTTTCCAGTTTGCGGCATGAAGTTCAGCCGTATCTTTGTTTATCCTATCTATCCATCTGGTTTTTGGCATCCCACATGGTCTCTTGCCTACTACTCTGGCATTCATTGTCGTGTAAAGGCGTCCTGATGGATTGCTACGAGCTACATGCCCTGCCCATCTTAACCTCCTTGCCTTCATGTCATGAGATATTGACTGACCCGTTTCTTTCAGCAGTTCTTTATTGTTCCTTCTCCTCCATGTGTCAAAGTTCTGGTCCTATATAGGTCCTGTTATCCTACGTAGAACTTTTCTTTCGAATCTCTCAATTCTGGCTTCTAGTGTGCCGGTTAGAGCCCAGGTTTCACAACCGTACAGCAGAACTGGCTTAATCACGGCGTCGTACAACCTTATTTTGAGATTTCTGGAGATTTTTCTGGATTTCAGTACCTTTGAAAGAGAGAAGAAAGATCTGTTCGCATTTGTTATTCGCTGGTCTATCTCTGTAAGTTGATCATTAATTGAGGTTATTGTGGAGCCGAGGTATTTGAATCTGTCTAATTTCGGGAATGACTTACTCGGGAATGACGCAGATCATGTTATTGGGGTGGATGTTTCGGCTATCATGTATTTTGTTTTATCTACATTGACCTGTAGTTCGATTTGCTCTGCTTCTTTTAATATAGTCTGAGCGAGTCTCTCAATATCCTCTTGATTACTTCCGATTACAGCTATATCATCGGCATATGCTAGGATTTTATGTTTCATTCCAACGTGCACCCCCCTCTCCCCATCTTCGCGTGATATTATTCTTATTACTTTCTCTAGTGCATCTTATTACATTCAGCAGCATCGGTGAGAGTCCATCTCCCTGGCTCAAATCCGTTCGAACTTCAAAGGCTTCAGATACTTCTCCTTGTATTAGTACCCTGCATTTAGGATCATTTATACACGCCTTCGTCAACCTCACTAATTTCCCGGGAGCACCCTGCTCAGTCATGATCTTCTAGAGACAGATTCTATCAAATAGGCTGATTTGAAGTCGACGAATAATGCGTGTACGTCCTAATCTACTTCCCATCGTTTTTAAAATACTTGTTTTAGGATGAATATCTGATCTAGAGTACTCCTCTCTCTCTCTCTCTCTCCGTTCCTTCTCCCATATCTTCTGGATTAGATCTAACAGCTTGGATCTGAGTTATTCTCCACCATCCTTGAACAATTCTGATGGCAGGTTGTCTATCTCAGGAGCCTTTCTTCTTTTAAGCCTGCCGGTAGCTATTTCCACATCCAGAATATCTGGTTTTTCAACCTCAAATGGGTCGATGTCCTCAGTGTGGTCCATGTCTTCTTCGTTTGTGGGATGCCCTTGATTAAGCAGCTGCTGAAAGTGTTCCTTCCAGATGCTTAGGATCTTTTCTTTTGATGCCGTCAATTTGCCATCTTTCCCTCGCATTTGTGTATTTCTTGCTTTATATCCTACCCTTTCTTTCCTAATATCTGCGAGGAATTCGCATACATTTCCAGGCTGCCAGTTTTCTTCAATAGTTTGTAATCTTTCTTTGAGGAATTCTCTTTTGGCAGTTCTTATTATTTTGTCTGTTCTTATTATTTTGTTTGTCTTTTTTCTGGCAGCTGTGTATTTGTCCTGCATAGCTTGATCACTTTGTAAGCAGAGGACTTTTCTTCTTTCCTCCACTTCCTTTTCGCATGCTTCTGTGAACCACTTCTTGGCTTTTCTTTTTTCCTAAATCAATATTACTTCCTTAGCTGTTTGTTTTAGCTCTGACTCTAGTGCCTCCCAGTGTTGGTCAACCGTGACACCTTCCGAGTTCAAGGGTTCGAATTTATTTTTCAGCTCAATTTGAAATTCAGCTTGTACTATAATTGAGGCAGGTGTTCCTCAAGGTAGCGTATTGGGTCCCGTCCTTTACATCCTCTTTACCGCCGATATCCCTGTCCATCCCGATACCTTCCTGGCAACTTTTGCTGATGACACCGCCATTCTATCATCCGACTCAGATCCTGATATAGCATCCTCAAACCTTCAAAGACACCTCTCCCTGATTGAGCACTGGTGTAATAAATGGCGTATTAAAGTAAACGAATCCAAATGCCAACACATCACCTTCACGCTCCGACGCAGTTCCTGTCCACCAGTACACTTTAATTCCATCCAGCTTTCTTTCTCAGACACAGTCCGGTACCTTGGCTTTCTCTTAGACAGACGACTAACGTGGAATCCTCATACTAGACTTAAAAGACAGGAACTAAACCGACGATATGACCAACTATACCGGCTACTAAACAGGAAATCTAAACTTTCCATTGAAAACAAGTTACTGATCTACAAGACAATATTGAAACCTATCTGGACTTACGGACTTGAACTGTGGGGAACAGCAAAATTTTCTAACATCAAACGCATCCAATCCTTTCAATCCAAAGTCCTTCGAACAATAGTCGATGCTCCTTTCTATGTAACCAACAAAACCCTACACCATGACCTTAATATCCCATTTGTCCTAGACCTTATCCCATCAAAATTCTCCAAATTTCACCAGAACCTTACCCATCATCCAAATCCCTTTGCACAATCTCTATCCAGCACCACCCATCCATATAATCCTCCAAGGAGGTTAAAACGGCAGTGGCCCCGCGGCCTTTTATAGTTTGTAAATATTGGAGTTCTGGCAATGGCCAGATTCTCCACTCACGACATGAGTGTATGTGGCTTATGCACTCTTGCTCAATCTCCACTGGGTTTAGCCCCAGTGACGCGGTTGAGAGAGAAGTGCTGGGATCTCCTGGAGCCATGCTTTTCCCTCCACACTTGGAGAGACAAGTCTGGTTTGGAGTTCCCTCACCAAATTGTAAATATTGTATATAGGTATGTATGTGTTCTTTTTATTTATTTATTTTTAGGTTATTTTATTCTTATTTATTGTATATACGTTATTTTTCTGTATAATTTATTTTATTTACTGTACATAGAGTGTGAATGTGATCTGTTAACACTATTATAAATGTCCTTGAGACAGATTGTAATATTTTTCAATAAAAGAATCAATGATTTTCTAAAAAAAAAAAAAAAAAAAAAAAACTTGTACTATAGGGTTTTTCAAATTACGGACTTCGTACCTCTTTCTTTCCACTTGGTTCCCAATTCGGTGGATTCGCTTCAACCTCTGACAGAGTTTGGTTCTAATCATAATATAGTCGGAATCACAGCCTGCTCCACGATAGCTCCTTATGTCTTGTATGGAGCTTTGATGCCTCTTGTCTATCAGCACATGGTCAATTGGACTTTTTGCTGCTTTAGGACTTACCCAGGTATACTTATGTATGCCCTTGTGCAGGAACATCGTACTGCTTACTACTAGATCTTTAGCTGCTACCAGACTAATGCATCTCACTCCATTGTCATTGCAAGTTTCCTGCAAACTTTGGGGTCCGATGCTGGGCTCAAATTGAGTTTCTCGACCTATCTTGGCATTGAAGTCTCCCATGACTAATTTTATGTCATGTTTTGGAGCCTGGTCCACAACTTTTTCTAACTGATCGTAGAAATCGTCCTTCACCTTATCCTCTTTTTCTTCGGTTGGTGCATACACGTTAATAATTGTGATATTAAACCAACGACCTCTTATGCGCAGCACACTTATCGTTTCATTAACTGGGGTGAAGTTTATTACTGACTTCATTGCGACCGAATTAACTATAAGCCCAGTGCCAGCTGTCCCATTTTTGTCGTTTCTCCCGGTGTAGAACAGTGTGTAGTCGTCTATAGTGGTTTCCCCACCATCTGGCTGTTAACGATATGTTGTACCTTTTTACTTCATTAACCACCGTTTGGGCGGCTCCTGGTCTATATAAGCTCCGAACATTCCATTATCCGATATGGAGTCCGTTATACAAAGTCGGAGTCGTTACCATGTTTAAGACAGTCAGATTTTCCGAGGCTGGTTTTTGGTTTCTTAATATGGTGTTTTTGACGGGATGGGATTATTAGCCCTATGCCCAACGCCCAACCTGAAGGACCAGGAGCTATGTCTACCACAGGGTCACTCACCTCCCTGCGGTGAGAGTTGCCTCCAGTAGGCTGACGGGTCTCACATACCCGAGAGGGGGGGGGAATCTCGAGCAGCACGTCTTTCCGTTGTGGACGGTCACCCAAATCGGGCGGTCACCCATCCAACTACTGATCACGCTCGACGTTGCTTTACTTTGATTACCTATTGCAAGCGCCTTAGCTCGTACGGCTACCCCGGCCCCATATATATATATATCGTCCCGGGTATGACGTTAAACTGCGACCTGGGTGGACAGGACTCATAGCCATAGTGAAGGCAACCTGTCTAGGGGAAGGCAATCCCAAAATCAACTTTCAGAAGATTTCGTGAATATCTACAGTGGAGTGGAAAAAAGTGAGAGAGCTAGAGAAGGGGTTGCAGTGGTGATTAACAAAAGATTGCGCAGGTATATTAAAAATTATGAATGTGTAAATGAAAGAATAATTAAACTTGAAATGGCATTGTTTGGAGAAGAGTTTGTTATTTTTGGGATCTATGCTCCAACTGAAAATTCCAAGCAATCCATAAAAGACACGTTTTTCGATGATATTTGCGACTTGATAGAGCGAACACCTGATCGTAAGATGGTTATCTGTTTGGGCGACTTCAACTGACGTGTTGGCAGCAAGTTCAACGATAAGACCGTGGGACGCTTTGGAGAAGAGGTAACTAACGATAACGGTGCAAGATTAATAAGTTTATGTGAGCAATTAAACATGAAAATATTAAATGAATTTTTCAAGCATAAAGAAATTCACAAATTCTCCTGGCACCAGCCTACTAAAGGTCTAAAATCAATCATAGATTATATAATCCTCAGGCGCACTACTAGGATAAAGGTGAACGATGTTAGAGTGATGAGAGGGCCGGAATGTGGTTCGGATCACTTTCTTTTAAAGAGTATTCTGAACTTTAAACCCCATAATCTTCTTAGAAACTTTCCAGTGACCAGAAGAAATTCAGACTCCCCGAAAACAATTCGATACCCAATTGAGAGTATGAAAAATCAAGAATCAGTAAAAGGACTGTTCCAAAGCCGACTGATGGAGAAATTGAATCATGAGAAAGGTCTGAATGATCGACTATATTACGAAAATATAGTAAAGTGTCTGCATGCCGCAGCTTTAGAAGTTGTCGGAGAGGAAAGGAAAGAGGTTAGAGGAAAAAACAAGCCTTGGGGGAATGAGGATGTTGAAGTGGCTGTTCAAGAAAAAAAATATTTATAAAATAAATGGTTAAGCTCTAAAAATGAGAAGGACCTGAGGGAATATAGAAATGCCTGTAAAAAAGTAAAATCTATTAGAAGGAAGGCATTAAATATTTATTGGGAGAAAACCTGCAAGTATGTGGACACTTACATTCATGGACAAAAGTCTACTGCTGCTTGGAGGACATTAAAAAATTTTAAAATCCCAAAAGATGTGGAGATAACTTCCCATTGATCAAAGAGCAGCAATGGGTGAATTGCTTTGAAGAATTATTTCATGAGGAACTACCCGAATTCGCATGGAACCAATCCGATGAAATAATATTAAAGAAGGAAGATATACCGCCAATCACAATCATAGAACTGGATTCAGTTATCAAAGGAATGAAAAATAGAAAATCTCCCAGCCCTGGTTCTATTCCAATTGAATTAATTAACGATTAATTAATTAATTAATTAACACAAGGCCTACGATTCAGTACCTCTAGCGAAATTGTGGAAAGCTTTGGAAGCCATATCTATTAAGAGATACCTCATCTGAGCAATTCAAGAGCTTTATAAAAATATAACGGGGGCTATAAAAATAGGAGATAGAGTGTCTAGAAGCTTCCCCATCAACAAAGGATTAAAACAGGGCTGCTGCCTTTCACCCCTGATTTTCAACATTTATATAGAACAAGCCCTTAAAAACTGGAAAAGATCGTGCTGTTGATGCTAATGGGAGTTCAAATCGGGAATTATGTAATCTACAATTTGCAGTATGCTGATGATCAAGTCATAATCGCATCGGATCCGGATGATCTGAGCTCTATGATGAGGAAGTTGCTAGACACGTATTCTAGATAGGGTCTGAAGATCAGTGAAAGTAAAACAGAGTGCATGGTTTTCAACGCTCCAAATTTGCCCCTTGAAATTGATGACTGGACGCTAAATGTCAGTCAGCAGTTCAAGTACCTCGGATACTGGTTGTCTTAAAAGGGAGGTATTGAGGTTGACATCGAACATAAAGTAAATAATGGGAAAAGAATAATAAGTTCGATAAATTCAACCCTATGGAGTAAAGAAATAAGATTAGAAACTAAAAAGAAGATATACCATTCCTTTGTAGAAAGCGTAGCCACTTACGGATCAGAAGTTTGGACAATGACAAAAAAGATGGAAAATAAGTTGCTTTCCATGGAAATGGATTTCTGGAAAAGAAGCTGTGGCACATCTAGAATCGAGCGGATCCCAAACGCAGCTATTAGAGACAAGGTCGGATGTCAAAAGAACATCCTTCACCTGAACGTTTAAAGTGGTATAGCCACTTAATGCGGATGGATGAGAACCGCTGGATATTTGGCCAAAGAAAATTTATACCTATTTGCCTCCTGAAAGAAGGAAGCGTGGAAGGCCAAAGAAGAAATGGATATAGGACGTGGAGGAAAGCATGGCAGCCAGAGGGCTTCGTGAAGGAGATTGGATGGACAGGGAGCAGTGGCTTTTGGGTATTGGGGATATGACTCTTTAAGTTGTATAAAACCCAAATAAAAAAAAAAAAAAAAAAAAAAAAAATATATATATATATATATATATATATATATATATATATATATAAACCTGTTCCACTACAACCCATGAAGGGTCTGGGGTTCAGTACTATTTAGGGAAAGCACTGTTTCTAGATCCACGGTTGTGCAAGGAGGTGATATGACCGAGATCAAGCTCAACCGCCAGGTTTTCCCCCTTCCAGGAGGGACTCCCGACCCAAGGTCGCCCCACAGCCAATGAAACAGATAAATAAATTTTCTGCCATTAGCCGGGGTTCGAACTCGGGACCTTTGCATTGGAAGCTCAGTGCCCTACCACTGAGCTACCCCGCTAAGGAATATATATATAATGCTTTCGGGCTGAAACCCCCCAAAAATTAAATACTGGATCCGCTAGAGCTGGGTATGTAGCAATTTTAAACAAGTCCACGACTTTTGATGGTACATGGGAAATGGCATTAATCCCATAAGCTTGTTCTGAAACATCTGAGCCACTGTGATCAGTTTCTTATTTAACTTGGTTAGAACTAACAGAGTTCGTCAAAGTTTTTATACAAACTCTGTCATCATGATCACGAACTGAACACAACCCACAACGAAGTTTTTCACAAAAGGAATATTTCAATTGTTTGCTTTGTGAGAGCTCTTTGCACACCGAAAACATATATTTTTAATACCCAAAGAACGGTAAAATTCTCTAGACCGGGGCTGTGAACGTGAAAAAATCGAAGTGACGTCAAGAGGTTGGCAGAAATGCCCTCCTGTTCTTCCATATTCTGAACGCCGAGAACGAGATGTCTTATTGATATTGTCACTATTATTTCAATGTGTTGGGAAACAAGGAGGAGCGGTCTTGGTACCTAGATCTTTACTGTGGGCCAGGGAATCTTCTAATGCAACTGCCTAGGCCAAAATTTTGTAAAATTGGTTTGTAGTAAGAGTTCAGGAATCCTGCAGATGAATGGTGCACGTAAGAATGTTTCAGAAAATGATACTTTTTGTTTGTAGTTTCATTCAACATGAAATTCGCAATTAGTTAAATGACGTCTTAAAGTTTCCACGTATTCGTTAATGACCTGTCAGTTTGGTAACATAAAATATAGTGTTGGGAAACAACTACGTTCTTGCTGAGTATGAGAAAAGTAGAAAATTTAGTTACCAAAGCAAGATAATCAAGGGTTTTCAAAGATTCTTCAGGTCCCAAATAATCAGTCAAATTGTTGTAATGAGAAGTTCCAAATGAAACGAGTAAAAGCTGACCTCTTTTGTTATCATCATTGACATTTTTCATAGTGGCATAGTTTGTTTTCAAAATGTTCAATGTAAGAGCTGAATTTCTCAACATTGGAATCGAACTGTTCAAAAGGCGAGACAGTACTACCACTGTTATTTGCGCCAACTGCCAACTGTGACAGGGCCAGAGAGAATGTTTCAATAAATTGTTTGACAAATAAGCGGGAACGTAAAATATAAGATTTACCTATGTAAAAATTACTACCACAGCCGGTAAGACCACTGGTTATTTGTCTTGCACAAACTCGTGGCACCACTTCGCACTCTTTACTCCTCGTCGCCAATTGTTTTATATTTGTTGATAAAATACACGACAATTTAGAAAACAATGTATTTCAGTTAAGGTACACAGTAACATTTTTAAAAATGGTAGCTCTAGCGCAGGTTAGCCTGCATGGCATAATGTTACCAACCATTAAATATACAACTATAATATAAATATACAACATAGCCCAATATTACATTAACAAAAAAATCAAACATATTTATCATTTTATTGATGATACATGACTTTTGAATGCATAGAAAATATTTTTTAGTGACCATAGTTTTTTAATTTTAGTTCTAGTTAGTACAGCTGCAGCTCCAGATGAGTCATCTTATGCTTGGTATTGTGAAAATGAACTGGAAACATGCTTAGGAGACCTATATAGTATAACCTGGATTGAGAGATTAAACAAGGTCAGTATTATTATAACATGATATTGATGAATACTAATGCAAGACATGTCAGTTGACATGGCCTCTGACTAATATTTCTTTAAAATATTATTCATATAAACTATCTTTAAGCAATTAATAATAATAAAAAAAACTGATACCTGTTATGGTAAAATTTGATAATATCAAACTGAACATGTTTCCTTTGTAATTCCTGAAGTCTATTTAAAATATTAGAAATTAATTACTCATTTTTAATATATGTTTAATACACATAAAAAAAAAAAAGTAGTAACTTACTACAGAAAAAATATCTTTAGAGACTTCTATATATGGAGAAAATGTATTGACTTCTTATAAATAAACCCCTTCAATATTAAAATAGATTATTTTGATGTGTCTCTTTAGGAATCATAAGGTTTTTATTTAATAATCTTTTATTCCATATCATATTTTTTTTTTTCTCTATTTAGTGCCATCTATTACTTGATAAATATTGTAAATTTGTGTTTGATATTCTCATCAATATAGAATAATGTCTAAGAACTTGATAAAATTGTTTTGTTTTTTATTTTAGATGATCTCTAGCGAGTCTTTATTTGAACAATTTGATGCGATTCGTACATCAGTGCTTCAAAAAAGTCATGCAAATTTATATGGTGACTATCGGGTTGGATTTTATGAACTGGGCTTAAATTTTGATGTAAAGGATAAGAATTCATTGAGGGTTCAAAACCAGTATGAGATGGTATGACAATCTATATAAGCATTGATATTAACAGTAATCTCATTAATAGTAAATATTTATATTTTATTTTGTTACCTATACAAAACAAATAATTTAATATATGTACTGTAGCAAATTAATTGGAACAAATAAACAATATTAGTTTCCACACTATTAATTATAAATCATCAAAACCACTAGCGGACCCAGGATTTAATTTTGGAGGGGGGCTTCAGCCCGAAAGATTTTTTTTTCATATATATAACGATAATTAATTTGAATATAAAAGAAAGAAATGAACTACCTATATGAAATGGTGTTTAAGTGATTCTTGAAGTCCTATTAAATGTAATTACACGAACAATAATACTTTAAGAGAGAGTTTTTAATATTTTTTTCTATAAAACATGGTTATATTTTACCGTTTTTTGGGGGAGGGGCTTCAGCTCAAAAGCCTCCCCCTCCCCCCCCCCGTAAATCTGCCTGTGATCAAATCGAACTGCCATTGAAAACTATGCTAGAATAACAGAACTACTTCCATCTCAAGCATATGAAAATCTAATATCTTAAGTTTTAAATTGATTGTTATAGAACTCATTAAAGATATGCCTGGTCATAAACATGTATATTATGGAGCTAAACAAAAACACCATTTTGTCTGTATTAGGGGCCACAACCTCTAGGTAGCAATTAAGGGGTGTGCCAAAAAGGACCATACAGCTCAATTGCAGGACTAGTTTCCCTCACCAGTACCAGTAATCTGTATTTTGTATAAACTACATTTCACTTATATTTATAATTTCTAGGGTGCTCAAATCTTCACAGAATATTTTTATTACTATACATTTATAATTTTAAATCTACTTTCACTAAACAATTTTTAAAGAAAATAATAATGTTGCAGATAGAAGATGGTGTTGATAGCAGAGATGTTCCACTTTTCATAGCGCAAAAAAAATACCAAAAAGTTAAAAATAAAGGAGAAAGAAAATCCCAGTATGAACAAATAGTTGAGGTATCCTTCTATAACTAGCATTCTCATTCATAGCTCTAATCATATGTGGTTCTAATGTTATAACTTATAACAAAACTTTTTATAAAAATACTTATAGTCAAAGATTAAAAAAATAGGAAAAGATAAGAACAATTATTTGAATCCGAAGAAATAAATATAAATTATTTTGGTAATTTAATTTGAACTTATATGACTTTAGTGTTATATATATATATGATATTAAGTAAAAACATATACAATAAAAAAATATTAAGTTATAACTTTATCTGTTATTATATATTTTATGGCTCAGAGAGCCATGGTTCGTGGACTGTGAATAAATGACATTGATACTACTAAATATCTTATTAAATCTGATGATAAATTTTATAAGTGAATTAAAATAAAAAATAAATTACTATTAATATTGTTTCTTGATACAACCTTGTTACAAAGGTTTTTTTTAAGATAGGAAGATTTCAATAACTTACAAAAACTCAAGTCTCTAAAACACTATCAAATAACTTATCAATCATTTGTTTGCCACCTTGAGCATCATAAAGGGCAGGAAAAAATAAACAAAATCAGACTAAAGACATTACATCGCCCCAATACATCTGAACATATAGGCTATTTTAAATATTTTCATTTCATTAACTAAAATATGATATACTAAAGAACAATTGCATTTACTATATAAATGTGATTTTATAAACTTCTTTATATTTAATAAATTAGGAAAAAATAATGGCTAAGCTTGGTATTTTCAGAATCGCCATTTCGCAGACAACTTAATATCAAAAATTATGCATTTATTCACTGAAGGAAATCTTAGGTTAATGAGAGAGTTAGAAAACAAAATTCTTCCAATAAATGAAAATGTATTTGATTGCTACAAATCAATAGTTAATTCATTTCAGAACAACTGTTTCAAGCTATATGAGGTAAGTAAAAACTATTATTCAAACATTTTGTAAAAAAGAAATTATATTTTTGTTCATCAGACAAATGCTTTTGCGTAATATGAAAATTAGGTAATATTGTTTAGTAATATTAAATCTTCATTAGGTGTACGCAGTGGAATACCTAAATCATTTGGGGCTCAGGGCAGATTAATGTATGAGGCCTATTAATCATTTAATCAAAACATTCTCGCCTAATTAAAAAAAATTAATGAAAGGATATGTAATTTTTTGATAATTAACAAAAAAAAACATACATATGTGCTTTTATAAAAACATACATACAAAATGTATGTAATCTTTTCTCAATAAAGATATTATTCAGTTCAGAAAAAGTAAAAAGTGAAAAGATCCCCTCTTGGGACCCCTCAGTAAGGGGATCTTTTCAGTGATATTAGTGACTAATTATTCAAAATATTGTTTAAGATCAGGTGAAACCTTACCATCCGAGAGTAATCATTTAAGAGAGATGCACAGTCAAAAGTTTTGAATTTACAGATTAAGTTTTCAAGATATAGCTGAGAAGGTCAGGGCATCTCAACCAGATGGCAAAAGACATTGACCTAATAAAAACTGTGGAGGATCACACAACAGAAGAAAGCCGGTCTCAAGGATGTCCAAGAAGACTAGGAGCTACCGACCATTTCATTTAACTGAAGGACTTTAAGCAAGTAACCATTTTAAAATCTAGATCAATCTCATCTGAACTTCGGTCAGTTGGTTGAAAGCTGATGTTTTCTATTAAAGAGGCGAAATTTGATAGTTCATTTAAGGGAAGAACAGACGGCTGAAATTTTTATATGATTTTAAGATTATGTCAACATCAATAATAATAATAAAAACATTAAGGACCTAAATGTGTTTCTAAGTCTGAGAGGTCCAACATTTCTTCTATTCGTATATCCCGAATCTACATAAACTTGAATTAAAATGAAAGTGCACCAAAATTCTTATTGAGCTCAGGTATAATCGGCAATATACGAAAAGTTAAAAAAGCCACTAGACTGCTCAGACTTTGAAGCGCATTTTGGTCCTTAATTTTTTTTATTACTATTATTAATGCTGATATATCTCATACTAACAGAATATATATAAGCTATGTAATTTGTTTATACATTCTAATTCTGTCATAAATATAGTTAAATTAGCCGTATAAAAAAACATTTAAAAAAGCGCTTAAGTTGAGTGCAGCAGATACTATGAGTCAAATACTCCTTCAATTCTATATGGTTTAACCACCGCTTAACCTTCTCATATATTAATGTGTCTACATGAGATATATTGGAAATTTAATACTCTTTCAGATTGATTGTAGTAGGTTTCTTGGAGAGATGTATAGATTATGAGTTTTGGGGGAAAATCCGACAACCGAAATTTCTTGTGGAATAAGAAAAATATCAACATGCTCTAACTCCTAACCTGATGGTAATACGTCAAAACGCTATTTACAAAATTGATAGTAGATGTTATCTTCTTTAACTTTTTTATATAATTTTTAATTTCGATAAAATGCACAGTTTCGAAATCATGCCCTAAAAAATGGAAATTTCAGTTTTTTGCATATATCTAGCAACACAATTGAAAATTTTGTTCACAATATTACTCAATTCTTCTTCGGTGCATACTATTATTTTCAAGTCAATTTATTACTAGCCATATTTACACCAATTTTAAAAAAATTTGTTGTCACTCAATGACCACTCATCAAAATGACGACGTTTCGGCTCGTCGAGCCATTTTCAAGTCTAAAAAAATTTTTTCATTTACAATCATATATTAAATTTTAACATATTTCAAATTATAAAGATACTTATTATGTACCTAAAATACCCATCATGTACCTGTCAATTTCACTTATGCGAATTGCAAGCGTCTACAATATAATAAAATTCATTATTATTGTCATGTTCACCTTTAATTATTTAACAACATTATTATTACTCATCTTTACTATTCCATGATTCAAACTAAGTTAAATTTACCATGTTTCTGAGTCACCCACATGTCATCCATCTCATTTCTATTCAGTGACTGGTTATTCTTATAGGAGTAGGGGAAGACTATTTATTATGAACATATATAATGCTGTTACTCAATATTACATGTGGATCTATTTTAAGTAATATTAGCTGATTTATTTCAAATTTTGATTTTTTCAATAGAACTAGCATAAAAAGTATTCATATTATCCACGTCTGTATGATTATTTACTGAGTTTTTTAAGTTCTTAGTTATGTATATTGATTCTTTAATTCTACGTTTATTCGTATTTCTTTCATTATGTAGGATTTTGGCATTTTTGAAATCAAACTCATGTTTAGTTTGCATATTATGTTGTGAGAGTCCAGTAGCTAATTTAATTTTTGTGTTTTTTGAATTACAATTTTGTTTATGCTGTTTAAGCCTTTTTTCAAACCATTGGGATGTTTGTCCAAAATATGCTTTGTTGTCGCAATTCTTACAATTTATTTTATAAATAATATTCGTTAATTTATCGATAGGTACTTTATCTTTAGTTTTCGAATAAATTGTATCTAATTTATTAATTGGTTTGCTTGCAAATTTAATTTCATTTACATCGTATTGTTTAAATGTTCTTTCAATTTTATCAGTTAAGTTTCTAATATATGAGACGCTAAAATATTTTTTAGGTTGTTGTTTGTTCCCATTACATTTTTCAATTTGTGTCTTAATGTCATGTTTATCGTTCATGGAAGGTTTTTGTTTTATTGCATTTTCAGTTTTAAAATAATTTGTTATTAAATTCGGTTCTTTATTAATTTTAATATTTTGCTTCACTTTCTCACTCCTATCATTGCTAATGTCAATAATCTGTTTGTTACTATTGTCATTTATAATTAACTTTTTATTTTCATACCATAATTTATTAATTAATCGAATGGGGTACCAATTTTCTAATAGAATTTGATATATTTGTGCTTTGATTTCTTTTATATGGTTTTGATCTGTTATTAATTTTGCCTTATTTATTAAATTTTTAGCTGTGTTAATTATTATATGTTTCTTGTGGTTACTGTGCCAGTTTAGGATTCTATCACTAGTTATTGTTTTTTTGCACCATGCCGTGCTAAGATCGCCGCTTTCATTTCTGTGAATATACATATCAAGATATCTTATTTTGTTGTTATTCTCCAATTCCATTGTGAATTTTAGTTTATCTGATATATAATTTAGTTTATCCAGAAAATTAACAGATTCATTTTTATTTATTATTGCAAGTATATCGTCAACGTATTTTATAATAAGCTTCGGTTTTTTTCCCCATTTAATTATAGCATTATCTATTAGATTGTTCAGATATATGCCCGAAAGATTGATTGACATACATCCGCCCATCGGTAGACCATTTTTCATTTTGTAATAATTATTATTATAGGAGAAATAGCCATTTTCGCAAATTAATTTGATTCCTTCCATAAAAACGTTTTTATCTTTTATTTCTGTGTACGGTTCTATTTCATCCCACCGTTTTTCCAGTATTCTATATATTTCATTTAGTGGAACATTCGTAAAAAGGGATTCCGCGTCATAGCTTACTAGATTTTCGTTTTCCTCTATCCTATTTATACTATTAATTTTTTCTTTTACTTGCATTGCATTCTTCACATCGTATATATTATTATTGTTTAAGTTGTTTAAGGCTGAGTTTAGGAATTTAGCCAATTTTTCAGTAATGCCATTTATATTATTTACAATTGGTCTAAGAGGTCTGTCATTTTTATGTAATTTGCTCAGACCATGTATTCGCGGTATAGTATAATGTCTAGTTATGAGTTTTTCTTTATCCTTTTCATTTATAAATTTCATTTTCATTAATTTATTTATATATGTCAAGGTTTTATCCTGGATTTCATTTGAAGGATCTTTCCTAAGGCATCTATATATTAGGCGTTCATCCAGTAGGTTGTGCATTTTTTTATCATACTCAGTCTTAGTAATAATCACGGTTTTCTTAGTTTTATCTGATTTTATAATTAATAATTCTGGATGGTTTTTAAAAAAAAATTTTGTTTCTATTATGTCTTTGTTTATTTTTTTGTGTAGGGGTTGGTTTGAGATATTTTGTTTATTATTGTTTTTGTCAATAAAATCATTTATGTGATTATTTACTCTATTTCTAATTATATTTTTGTGATTATCAGGTGTGTTGATAGTTCTAATTATATTTTCGACGTCCGCTATTATATTAACTATTTCCCTGTTGTATTTATAAGGTATAATGTTGAATTTATCCCCTAATGATAATAGATTTAATATGTTTGTTGTAATATCTGTTTTAGTCGTATTAACCACCCAACCTTTTGTGTGCAATTCTTCATAGGATTTTATGATGTTATTACGGTTTATACAATGTTTATTTGTGAGTCTATTGTCCAAATTCTTAGTCATAAAGGATACCGTATTATTATATTTAATATCAGCGTATGGTTTTTTAATAAAGGCTTTATATGGTCTTTTACATTTCTCTTCTAATCTCAATCTATGGAATTTAACATAACTATTTTTGTAATTCGCAATTAGTTTATTAACCTCATTATATATGTTCATATGTATGTCCCTTAATTCATTTAAAAATATTTCATGATTTTTGTTATAGGTGTTTAATGCCCAATAACATTGTTTTATTTCAAGTAGTAAACAATCTCTTGCTAATTTATTAAATAAGTTATTTGTTTTTTCTTTATAATTTATCAGAAATGAGGTATTAAAAAGATTTTCCAAAGGTAAAATTTTTTTCAGCAAGTGTTGCGGTATCGTGTCCGAGTATTTACATTTTTTTAAATAAAATAATTTATTATTTATCCTTAAAATTTTTGAAAAATTATTAAGAAATTTATAAGTACATGATAGGTTTACATTACCATTTATTGTATTCACAATTGTAAATTTCCAATTCTTCCATACTTCATCCTTCGGCATGTTTTCTGGGTCGTTATTAGGCCTCCCAGTTAATAATATTCACAATATTACTCAATTCTTCTTCGGTGCATACTATTATTTTCAAGTCAATTTATTACTAGCCATATTTACACCAATTTAAAAAAATTTGTTGTCACTCAATGACCACTCATCAAAATGACGACGTTTCGGCTCGTCGAGCCATTTTCAAGTCTAAAAAAATTTTTTCATTTACAATCATATATTAAATTTTAACATATTTCAAATTATAAAGATACTTATTATGTACCTAAAATACCCATCATGTACCTGTCAATTTCACTTATGCGAATTGCAAGCGTCTACAATATAATAAAATTCATTATTATTGTCATGTTCACCTTTAATTATTTAACAACATTATTATTACTCATCTTTACTATTCAATGATTCAAACTAAGTTAAATTTACCATGTTTCTGAGTCACCCACATGTCATCCATCTCATTTCTATTCAGTGACTGGTTATTCTTATAGGAGTAGGGGAAGACTATTTATTATGAACATATATAATGCTGTTACTCAATATTACATGTGGATCTATTTTAAGTAATATTAGCTGATTTATTTCAAATTTTGATTTTTTCAATAGAACTAGCATAAAAAGTATTCATATTATCCACGTCTGTATGATTATTTACTCAGTTTTTTAAGTTCTTAGTTATGTATAATATATAGATGCCTTAGGAAAGATCCTTCAAATGAAATCCAGGATAAAACCTTGACATATATAAATAAATTAATGAAAATGAAATTTATAAATGAAAAGGATAAAGAAAAACTCATAACTAGACATTATACTATACCGCGAATACATGGTCTGAGCAAATTACATAAAAATGACAGACCTCTTAGACCAATTGTAAATAATATAAATGGCATTACTGAAAAATTGGCTAAATTCCTAAACTCAGCCTTAAACAACTTAAACAATAATAATATATACGATGTGAAGAATGCAATGCAAGTAAAAGAAAAAATTAATAGTATAAATAGGATAGAGGAAAACGAAAATCTAGTAAGCTATGACGCGGAATCCCTTTTTACGAATGTTCCACTAAATGAAATATATAGAATACTGGAAAAACGGTGGGATGAAATAGAACCGTACACAGAAATAAAAGATAAAAACGTTTTTATGGAAGGAATCAAATTAATTTGCGAAAATGGCTATTTCTCCTATAATAATAATTATTACAAAATGAAAAATGGTCTACCGATGGGCGGATGTATGTCAATCAATCTTTCGGGCATATATCTGAACAATCTAATAGATAATGCTATAATTAAATGGGGAAAAAAACCGAAGCTTATTATAAAATACGTTGACGATATACTTGCAATAATAAATAAAAATGAATCTGTTAATTTTCTGGATAAACTAAATTATATATCAGATAAACTAAAATTCACAATGGAATTGGAGAATAACAACAAAATAAGATATCTTGATATGTATATTCACAGAAATGAAAGCGGCGATCTTAGCACGGCATGGTGCAAAAAAACAATAACTAGTGATAGAATCCTAAACTGGCACAGTAACCACAAGAAACATATAATAATTAACACAGCTAAAAATTTAATAAATAAGGCAAAATTAATAACAGATCAAAACCATATAAAAGAAATCAAAGCACAAATATATCAAATTCTATTAGAAAATTGGTACCCCATTCGATTAATTAATAAATTATGGTATGAAAATAAAAAGTTAATTATAAATGACAATAGTAACAAACAGATTATTGACATTAGCAATGATAGGAGTGAGAAAGTGAAGCAAAATATTAAAATTAATAAAGAACCGAATTTAATAACAAATTATTTTAAAACTGAAAATGCAATAAAACAAAAACCTTCCATGAACGATAAACATGACATTAAGACACAAATTGAAAAATGTAATGGGAACAAACAACAACCTAAAAAATATTTTAGCGTCTCATATATTAGAAACTTAACTGATAAAATTGAAAGAACATTTAAACAATACGATGTAAATGAAATTAAATTTGCAAGCAAACCAATTAATAAATTAGATACAATTTATTCGAAAACTAAAGATAAAGTACCTATCGATAAATTAACGAATATTATTTATAAAATAAATTGTAAGAATTGCGACAACAAAGCATATTTTGGACAAACATCCCAATGGTTTGAAAAAAGGCTTAAACAGCATAAACAAAATTGTAATTCAAAAAACACAAAAATTAAATTAGCTACTGGACTCTCACAACATAATATGCAAACTAAACATGAGTTTGATTTCAAAAATGCCAAAATCCTACATAATGAAAGAAATACGAATAAACGTAGAATTAAAGAATCAATATACATAACTAAGAACTTAAAAAACTCAGTAAATAATCATACAGACGTGGATAATATGAATACTTTTTATGCTAGTTCTATTGAAAAAATCAAAATTTGAAATAAATCAGCTAATATTACTTAAAATAGATCCACATGTAATATTGAGTAACAGCATTATATATGTTCATAATAAATAGTCTTCCCCTACTCCTATAAGAATAACCAGTCACTGAATAGAAATGAGATGGATGACATGTGGGTGACTCAGAAACATGGTAAATTTAACTTAGTTTGAATCATGGAATAGTAAAGATGAGTAATAATAATGTTGTTAAATAATTAAAGGTGAACATGACAATAATAATGAATTTTATTATATTGTAGACGCTTGCAATTCGCATAAGTGAAATTGACAGGTACATGATGGGTATTTTAGGTACATAATAAGTATCTTTATAATTTGAAATATGTTAAAATTTAATATATGATTGTAAATGAAAAAATTTTTTTAGACTTGAAAATGGCTCGACGAGCCGAAACGTCGTCATTTTGATGAGTGGTCATTGAGTGACAACAAATTTTTTTAAAATTGGTGTAAATATGGCTAGTAATAAATTGACTTGAAAATTTTGTTCAAAATCGTCAAATTCAGATTCAGCATTCCAAAAAACTGATTATTTGAATTTTTTTCTCGTCCAACTGTACTAATTTGATGACTGACGCCACCGTTAGTTTTCAAAACGCAACCTCATCAGTCAAGGTTAATTCTCTTTCAGGGAGATATTCTCTAAATCATATAAAAATTTCAGTCGTCTGTTCTTCCCTTAAATGAATCATCAAATTTCGCCTCTTTAATTTTAATTTTCTTACAGAAAACATTAGCTTTCAAATAACTGACCGAACTTGTGTTCAAATGAGGTTGATCTAGATTTTAAAATGGTTAATAGCTTTAAGTCCTTCAGTTAAATGAAACGGTCAGTAGCTCCTAGTCTAAAGGATATCATTCAATAATCAAATGACAAAGTTTGCAAGAGCTAAGAGTAAAATATTAAAAGAAATAAATAATCTTACTAAAAATAGAAACTTCTTGCAATCCTGGCTGGATGGATAGGTCATATAATATAAGGCATTAAGGGAGGCTGGGAAAGAAGATTTAGTTTTCTAGGGTTTCTTTAGAGCTTCTGCCATTTCTTTTTCATAAATTTATTTGATTTTCAACATCACCCTCTTTGACTAGTGGGTCATTGAGTTCATTTCTAATCAATGGACCATAGTTGGTTTTTAACATTAAAACTCCTTTCCATGAGAAGTGATAAGGACTTTGGTAGGTCAGGCTGTCAGTTGATAAGCAAACAAAGTAAAATGTTCAAACCATTAATTTCTGATTTAAAAAAAAAATTGTGGCAATGATCAATGATATGTTTACAAGATTGCTAAAAAAATTAATTACATTTAGAATATTCCAAATGAATTAATGAAGATTCCATAAAATTGATTTTGTCAATTTTATAACAAGATTGGATTGACTAAACAATACAAGAATAAATAGATACAGTATTATAGATTGATGTCAAGTTTAATAAATAATAATTTCTATTTTTAAAATATATTTAATTATTATTTTTTTCTTTTAGCATACTTACTTCTTAAAGCATACATACAAACTATCAAATATATGTGTTAAGAGACTTAAGCCAGAAAAGATGATAAAAGCAATAGAATCTATCTGCAAAGATGTGAATAAAGGTGATACAATTATAATCTAGAATGAATAAAAAATTGTTTATATTAAGCTAATCTTGATGAATAAACATATAAATAAGGTATCTCATAAATAAAAACAATTTAACAAAAATAACTTTTTATTTATTCCCATACCTGATACCAAAACAGATTATTGGCAGCAAATTTATCACATATAACATCCCTCATAAGGATGGACTGTTTTGATTTTTAATGTTGAGCGATAATTAAATACTATGGACCAATCATCTATCATAGGTAAAAACAAATAAAAAAAGCTATTATCCAAAAAAATAAACATTTTATACAACAAATACATCTTAAATAACAATCCTAAATAACAGTTCAGTTTACAGTCACAGAAATAGCTTTTTTTATTTTATTTTTAGTGGTAATATTTTTGAAAAAAAGTTTTTAAAACACAAAAATATATCTTAACAATGAATTTTATACATTTTATAAATTGAATATAAAATTCAACAAAAATATACATTAGATCATGACAAAATAACTATTTTATTAATTCTGATGTCACTATTTCTGAATGTGTAAGTGTGTTTATGTTCGTGTTCGTGTATCTGTGTTTGATTACATGTGTATATTATATGTATTAAGTATTTCTATTTGTTAATAATACGTCATGACCATTTATTTACAAGGAAACATCAGCATTTTACAATACATAAGGCACTTGAGATAAAAATATATTCTGGATTAAGTCTATGAATAACATCATTTCATGGCACGTTTTATGTATATTACAAATTCACAAAGTAAAAATTAATCAAAATTTAAATTTCCATTGTTTTAACCCTTGCTATATAATATTGAAAGTAAGAAATAAGTTTATATATATATATATATATATATATATATATATATAAACATATAGAATTAAAATACAAGATAAAAATAAATATATCACCAAAAACTTGAACTATTAACAAATTTATACAATAAAATACTATTTATTTAATGAAAATTATAACACTCACCAATCCATGTAAGAATCATCAAAGAGAAAACAACAGTAATCACAAAAATCCAACACATAAATTGCATATGTCTCTGCTCTGTAGCATGTGTGCAGAAGCTTTTATGAAAAACATACACACATACAAACATGAACACCAACTTTTATATACATAACAACACATGCATAAAATTAACTTGAGGAACTGCTAATGACAGTTAAGTAATAATCCACACAAAAGAAAAATATAACATTAGTGATTCCAATACTACTAAAACAACAAACATTAACTAACAAGGAATCGAAAACCAACGATCATAAAATATTTTAATATAGGTAAGTTTCCATATTTTGAAAATTAGAATAATAACACAAATTTCACTATAAAAAAAAAATTAGTTCTAAAAATAAAATATTTTCCTGCTTCCAATTATTTATTGCTGCTGAATTTTATTAGGTTGGAAGACAAGAATTTATGCATAGATTTAAATGAAAATTTAAGTTTTGGCACAACCTCAATCACAACCAACTCAGACATTAATTATGTGGCTCCTAATAGGGTGCTTAACTAAATCAATTTAAACCATACCTACTAATTTTAAAATTATTTATGTTGGTATTTTGGAGTAAAAAAGACAATAAAACCATTTAAAAAAAAAAACATATCATGAAAAATTGAAATATGCTAACTAATTAGATGTAAAAGGTTTAAATAGATGGATTATACATCTATCACTAACTCCTGAGTAACATTGAAACTTAAATTTGGAAGAAATCAATCCATATTACTTGTTCAATATCAAGTCATTATTTGTAAGATTGGTGTTTAAAACAGGAGGATAAGATTAAGACTCAAAACCACTAAATGATTATTTCAAATCATTTATACAGGAATAAATGTAAAATAACTGACAATAGATCAAAGATACTTTAAACTAGAAAAATATATCTTTAACATTACATATTACATTAACAAACGTATAGCATAGTTTTGACAATTCATTTTTTACAGTAATACCTGCTACTTATAAACAACTAAACAGTAATTAGTAGTTTATTATAACAAATATACATTAAAACGCACATACATACATACATACATATATATATATATATATATATATATATATATATATGCATGTATATATAAATATACATATTTTTAGAGAGCAATATTCAAACATCAACATCGTTTCTTTGATTTCAAGAACACTACCAATCACAGGCATATTATTAACTTAGCCCACAATATCTCCAATTCATTCACAATTACAGAAAGAAATACTTATGAAGAAAAAGTTTCGAATCTACATACATAGTCACTAGGCACTCAGTATGATCACCAAATGTTTTATACAAAACATTTCACAGGTAATGACCAAATTTTTAATAAAACATCAATCACTGCTATTGTTTTCCATTTACATCTTTCTTTATTGGTGATGTTATGGATGGTAGAGTTGAATTCTGTACAGCATGTTCGATACTTTTTTCAACAAAAGTTTCATATGTGGGCTTCATAAACTTTAAAAAAAAAAAAATATTAAAACATATATATCACTTTAAAAATAGCAGATTTGATTTGATAATTAAATTATTCTTTTTAAATTTGAAAATTATTATTAAAAAAATTTAAGGGTATCCTAGGTTTTCATTAGCTACCTTAACAGTTTAATAGTGGGCCTGATATGGCCCACATTCTAAGTCAAAGAAATACGAAAACCTGTTACAATAGAATACTACAATAGCACAAGTGGATTTTGAAATAGTCATCATAAAATAAATGTAAGAGAAATACTCTTACAGTAATCCCTCGTTATCATAAACTTGGTTAACATAAAACATAAGGTAACACAAACTAGATTATTCATCCCACTAAAAACAAAGAATTGTCCTGCATAGTGTCAAGGGAATCATTGATTAACATGAATCTCCAACATTTTTGAACAGTATTACAATGACATTTTTGGCTAGCAAAAACTTATTCTCAGTAACTCCTCACTTTACCCCTTCTTATTTGTATTCAGTTTCAACAGCACTCTATATGAAACATCTGTTTTCATGAAAAAAAAGAGTAGAAAAAGTTTAAATGAATTTTATTTAAAAATTTGTAATAATACGTGAAAACATAGTTTAAATGAGGTATAATTAGGAATTTTGCAGTCATGTAACTAACCAATAAAAAAAAAAAAAAAAAAAAAAATATATATATATATATATATATATATATATATATATATACACTGACAGGCAAAAAATTCCACCCACTTTTTACCCTATGAAGGAACCAAGTTGGAAAGGTTGGCTCTGGGAAAAATTACAGGCTGCATATCTTTCGTTTCTTCTTCTCCACACCCTATCACGCCTGTCTGGAGACCGAAGAGCGAATCTTGACTCATCTGTAAACAGTATAGCACTCCATTCGTCCATAGTCCAATGGCTGTGTTCTCGAGCAAAAGCCAGCCGTGTTACTCAGTGAGTTCTGGTCAACTCTGGTCCTCTTACTGGACGAAAAGCCATTAATCCATAGTCATTTAATCTTCTCCGAGCGGTGTGTTCAGAAATTTACACACCTCGAACTTCTTCGAGCTGATGAATCGCTTGAACAACGGTAAGGTGCCGGTTTCGTAAAATTCTCAAAGTCAAAAACCGGTCATCCCATGATTCTGTTACCCTAGGCCGTCCAGAAGCGGGGGGCTTTCTATTGTAAGAACCAGTTTCCCGAAAATGCCTGACGGCGTCTCATAAAGTTTCATATGGAACTCCGATGGCATTAGCTGCATATTTAATGGAACGTCTATCATCAATAAGTGCCACACCATGCGCAACATCCTCAGCACTAAGAGGCATTTTTAAACTTAATATTGAAAAAATTAAAAGCCGGAGACTAAGAAATGTGCTGCAAGAAACGGCAATGAACTAATGATACTGAATAAACATTTTGATTCCATAGAAAGTAAACATTGGAGTCTAGAATCATTTCATTGAATTAAGGATTAAGGGTTATTGTCCTTTATATTAACATTCCTAATTGAAAATAAATAAAAAGATTACCTATTTATTCATTAAAAACAATAGACCAATCCAAAGCAGAAATATTTTTAGATGAAAACATGAAAAAATTAAGTGGGTGGAATTTTTTGCATGTCAGTGTATATTACCCAAACATCTATTAAGCTAAAACAAAGAAATATTGATTTTGTGACCCCTGAAAAAGGGTCTTCAGGTAAGTGATAGTTCTTTCATCTCACGCTATGTTGTTACAAAATCAATTATTAAATATATTATTTTTTTTCTTTTTATTTAGCTTAAACCTAGCACCACATGAAAGAACTATTGCTTATGAAGTATCACTAAAATTCTTAGTTTTGGTATTACGCCTTTCTATTTCGATGACATCGAAAAATGTACCTATAGAGAAACTTTTAGACAATAGGATAAGATGAATTTCTTTAGTTTAAACAATAGTTCATTGTTTATAAATTGTTTTAGCATGAACCAACTGAGTTGTGTTAAGGAGAGACGACTGTTTACTACACTGCCTAGAATAGGAAATGCTTTCAAGTATGTCAGTGAAAAAAAAACACATTACTCAAGGAATGGATATACAAAATATAGATGTTTTAACAACAGGCTAAAACTTTTTAAAGAGATAAGCTGTCTTTTTTTTATTGTCAAATAATACAATCTGCATCCTCAAGGAAAATATGTACTTGTGCTATCGTCCCAGTAATAAGGGCATAGAAATTAATTTTTTTAATTACAATTTTAAAATGAATATTAATATAAAGCTGCTTTTAAAAATATTTGATAAATGGTTGACTGTAGATAATATTCGTGGGAAGTTGGTTGGGTTTACTGCCACAGTGAAATATGTAAAAGAAATTTAATTTGTGCTGACATTCTGGCTCAAGTTTCAGGTCTTCATCAGGTGGTCGAATGGGCTAATGTGGTGTGCAGCACAGCCTGTGCCTGGCAACCTGATGGAAGATAATTTGATAAAATAATTACCAGTTTGCGTCTCAGGGAGCTTTTAACTCTGGTATTAATCCCCAGCTCACACTCTCTGGCCTAAGAAAACTCCATATAGCCTAAAAGGCAAGGAAGGAGAGAAAAAAAAAGGCCTTCATCAGGGCCAAAAAATGAAAAGTTAACAATCAAAGAAAACATATTAGCAAGAAAATAAAACGGTATGAAAAACATTGAGTTATCCCCAAATAAATAAATATTGACAAGTGAATAAAAATTACATTATGTTAGATAAATTAAAATATATAAGCAGTGTATATAATGGCATGGCATGGCATGGATAATAAATGTAAAATATTATACCTGTATCACTTTTTTAAAAATTTTAATACAAAAGGATAATGGGCTATGTTATATTACATTCAATAAATAACACTAGAACTGGACTTTTAAGAATGTGTTTTTTAATTTCAACCTTATTTATCAAGAAAATAACAATAAAGCCTTTTTTATTTGGGTCAGTAGTTTTTAGAGTGTGTGGTTGACTGGGTATTGAATTGTCTCCAATCTGCATAAGAAAGGCTTTCGCTTCATTTTTACATAAGGTTATTGGATTCCTTGATGATGAAGGCCTCTTCCCTTGAAAGCATTGAATTTTATCCCACATTGTTTTTTAGTTGCTAGGATCTATTGTGCCAATAAAATTGTTTCTCCAGCTATCTTTTTTTGACTTAGCTACGAGTTTTTTACTTTTTTACTGTTGGCTCTCATTATCTTATAATTCTCTACATTCATATTTTTTTAATAATCTTTTATTGATGCAGTTTTCTGTTTATAGGCCTTCTCCAGGATCTCATTCCATCAAGGTTTTGGGGAGAACTTTTTCCAAGGATAGTATTTAGTTCGCAGTATCGCCATCTCTTCTTTATCAAAGTGGTTAAATCTTTTAGGTTATTCACTGGATATAGCTTAAAATTTTCAAGGTGCATGGCATATAAATTGCAATTAATTTTTTTTAAATTCTTTCTAGTTTGTGCAATAGCTGTGAATGGACAAAAACTAAATGAAATGGCTATTAGGTTGTCACTAACTAGAGTTTTGTTAGTTATTGGCCATGATATTCTGTGAGATATTTCCGGACTTACAAAAGTAAGATCTGTGATGGAGGATTTGTGTCCTGGACTTCCAAGTCGTGTAGCTTTGCCAAATTCATTCAGTAATACTACCAGCTGTTGAGATAATAGTTTAACTATTATGTTACCGCTTGGGGAGTCTCTTAAGCAGCCATACAATTTGGATTCGGCGTTAAAATTTCCTTGTTGCGTGATTTTGTTATCTATTAAAAGTTCATTATTATTTAGAATTGAAGTGGGGTCGGGAGGTTTTTTATCAGCAAGGTCTTCTGGACCCATGTATAGAGCTAAATAAAACACAAAATGTATATATAAAATAGCAAAGAGAGGCTATATAATTAGTTTTAGTAGTATAAATTATTAGTAATAATAAAAATATATTGGAAAGGTAATCCTATGAGCTGTAGATGATTAAGCGATGTGTACTTGACGGCTGTCTAACACTCACTGCTGCACATATTTCTAGTCCCAGCTTCAGTGAGGTTATAGCATTTATAACATCTCCTCTGTTAGACTAGGACCTGTCGACCCTTTCAATTAACAGAAGTACTTAACTAGCAACCATTTTAAATTCTAGATAAACCTCATCTGAACACACAACTTTGGTCAGAAGATTGAAAGCCGTTGCTTTCTATACGAAAATTTAAATTAAAGAGCCTAAATTTGACGGTTTATTTAACAGAAGAACTGACAGCTAAAATTTTGATATAATGTAAAAAATATGTCCCCAAAAGAGGATTCATCTTGACTTACGATGTCAAAGTGATCAAATAAGGCCAGTCGGATGGTAGTTGGATGAGGAAAAAATTCAAACAGTTGTTTTCTCTTAACTTTTTTATGTTTTTTGGGATGTGATGTTGACGAACGAAATTTTTCATTGTGTTCAGAAATGTATCCAAAAAACAGTGAAATTTACAAATTTTTTTTTAGTTTTTTGGACTTGAATCAGAAACAATGCATTTTATCGAAATTGTTGTTACATATAAAGTTAAAGAAGATAAAATTTACTATAAATTTTATAAATAGTTTTTGATCTACAATCAACGGATGAGGAGATACATCAACATTCATAATAATAAACAAATTAAGGATCAAAATGATCTTCAAAGATCGAGCAGTGTAATGGCTTTTCAACTTTTCGTATATTAACGATTCTACCAGAGCTAAATAAAAATTTTGATGCATTTTCAACTTAATTCAAGCTTACGTAGAGTCATAATATGCGAATAGGCGAAATGTCATTGAACCACTTGGACTTTGAAGCACATTTCAGTTCTCATGTTTTTAATTATTATGAATTTTAATGTCTCTCATACTTACAGAATATATAAAAGCTATGTAATTTGTTTATACATTATAGTTTTGTAATAAATATAGTTAAATTAGCCATGAAAATACAAAAAACACTTAAATTGAGAGCGG